ACCTTATAATATGATTCAGATCTGGGTGATATTTTCGTAATAAGGATATGTGGAATACATTGTGAACCCCACTATACTGAGGAAGGAACGCTACCCTGTATGCAACCACCCCCACCTTCTTCAGAATCTCAAACGGCCCTATGAAACGGGGACTTAACTTCCCTTTCTTCCCAAACCTCAATAAACCCTCCATGGGAGATACTTTTAGGAACACATGATCCCCTACTTCAAAGCTCAAATCTCTCATGCGATTGTCTACGTACCCCTTCTGTCTACTTTGGGCAGCTTGTAAATTCTGTCGTATCATCAGCACCTTAGCCGTAGTTTCCTCTACCATTTTCGGTCCCAACAACTGTTTTTCTCCCACTTCACTCCAACACACCGGCGACCTACAGGGTCTACCATACAGAATTTCATAAGGAGTCATTCCAATGCTGGTGTGATAACTATTATTGTATGTAAATTCTATTAAAGGCAGTATATCCTCATAATCTCCCTTTATGTCGATGACACAAGCTCTCAACTTATCCTCTAATACCTGTATCGTCCTCTCCGTCTCCCCATCCGTTTGTGGGTGAAAAACTGTGCTAAAACTCAATTTAGTACCCAAAGCCTGTTGTAAACCTCTCTAAAATCTGGAGGTGAATCGGGAATCCCCATCAGAAACAATCGATACGGGAATACCGTGTAACCTTACTACCTTTTTGACATACAGTCTGGCCAAATGCTCCACTGAATCAGTTACCTTCATTGCTAAAAAATGAGAAAATTTAGTTAGACGATCAACTACCACCCAAATACTATCATGTTTCTTACAGTTACTTGGCAACTCGGTCACAAAATCCATAGAGACATGTTCCCACTTCCACTCAGGTATGGGTAAGGGCTGTAATAAATCATCAGGCCTCTGATGTTCCACTTTCACTTACTGGCATATCAAACACCTTGACACATACTCTGCGATATCCCTCTTCATACCCTTCCACCAGAAACTTTTTTGTAAGTTTTTATACATTTTAATACTCCCCGGGTGTATGAAAAATTTGGTATCATGTGCCTCACTGAGTATTTCTTCTTGTATCGTGCGATCATTGGGAACACACATTCTGGTTTTAAATATGAGTATCCCATCATCTTTCACCCCAAAATCTCTCACTGTCCCCTGTTCTACTCCCTTCTGAATCATCTGCATCTCGGTGTCCACCAACTGTCCCTCTATGATTTTCTGAACCAAGGTAGGTTGTGCCCTCAAACTAGCCACATATCTTCCATTGTCCCCTTCCTGAATACATAATTGTTGCATGGCTTCTCCTAAACACCACTCAGACACTATCAAATGAGCTAGCACCCCAGTACTTTTACGACTGAAGGCATCTGCCACCACATTTTCTCATCCGAGGTGATACCTGATTCTACAGTCGAAATCTTTCAACAGGTCCATTCACCTCCTCTGCCACATATTCAATTCCCGCTGTGTGAACATATACTATAAACTTTTATGATCTGTATAAATTTCAAAGATTTTCTCATATAAATAATGTTGCCGCAGCTGCAAGGCATAGACCACTCCAGCCAACTCCAAATCATGGGTTGGATCATTCTTTTTGTGTGTCCTTAATTGTCGAGACCCATACGTTATAACCTTCCTCTGTTGCATTAATACACAACCCAATCCAACATGAGATGCGTTGCTATACACTGCAAAACCACATTCTCCCGACGGAATGGCCAATATTGGGGTAGTAGTCAGTCTGTGTTTCAATTCTTGGAAGCTACCCTCACACATCTCATCCCATTCAAACTTCACATTCTTCTTTTTCAACCTGGTAAGAGGTGCCAAAATACTCAAAAACCTTTGCACAAACCGACGGTAATATCCCGCCAACCCCAAAAAACTTCTGATCTCTGTTATAGTCTTTGGCCTTTCCCACTTTACCACTACTTCTACTTTCGCTGGGTCTATTGATACCCTATCTCTCGACACAATATGGCCCAAGAATGTTATCTAATCCAACTAAAACTCACATTTACTAAACTTTGCATACAGTTTGGCTTTTCGAATAATCTCTAGTATAGTTGTCAGATGTTCCGCATATTCTACCGAATCTCTTGAATAAATCGATATGTTATCTATGAAGACAATGACATAACGATCCAGCAGGGGTTTGAACACCCGATTCATCAAATCCATAAACACTGCAGGAGCATTCGTTA